AATTATGAAAGGGTTATATCAAATGGCAGGCGTTTTGATGGTCATCATTAGCCCTTTAGGCTTCACAGAGGGGAAGGAACATCAGAGTGAAAAAAAGTAGAGAGGGGGGGGGGAGGGAACAGGAGAGTGTTTCAAAGACCAAGGTGTAAAAAAGGTGAGGTGAGTACTGTGGAAGTAGTCGAATATGACATACAGTGGGGTGATGGTAGTTTGAAGTGAGAAGTCAACTGTCGGTTTATAGACTTTTTTGCCGTATGAGTATACGTTGCCCAGGGTGCACCACGTGGAGGTAAGTCTACCGCACACCCCAATTATGAAAGGTTTGACTACTCAACTTTTGATTGGTGTAGTCTGCTATTAAGTAGTCATTGGGTTTATGGAGTGAAGTTAATGCTAAATTGAAGAAGGAAGAAATCGAAAATGGTCTCAAGTTAGCTATTTGTGCCCTAGTTTCAACGTTAATCCTTAACTGCTGAGTGGATTTGCATGACTGAAATATTTTGCGTTATTTTTAGTCCACGTATGTTGACCGAGAATTACATTTTATTCTGTTTCCAATTGATGTGCTTTATCAAGTAGTAATTGATAAAGAACTCAGATTTAAGCACGTGATTTCAAATGCTATACATACACAAACACACAATCTCTCTCTATCCAATATACGAATCCTTACATGAGATAAAAATGAGCATACTTGAAATCAGAGAAAATATTTTGTGGATTCTATTGAAGCTACTGTTCTACAACATCACATGAGCACTCGGATGGAAATGTGAAAATGACTATTACTCATCTCAATTCTACTCATCAGTCAGTCATCCTCACAGCGTGTTCAGTAGAAGCGCGGAGCGAACGAGATACATTGGAGAGAAAGGTCAAACTATGAAAGCCGTAAAAGATTTGCCAGGTAATATGATAGACAGGTGTGTGTGTGTATGTGCGAATTATCGCGTTTCAACAAGAGCGCCTGCATTTTATTCGTTCTCTTCTTGCCTCTACGAGGTTTACAAACGGGGTTCTCGACAGTAAACTGCAAGAAAAAACGATAATAACAGACAAAATACTTGATTTTTTCCAATGACTTTCCAGAAATTAGAATAAAAAGCGTGTATATTTTTAACTTTTCACATGATTTATACCAAATAAGCACGTATGTAGTAGAAGTGGAAGAAAAGTATTCATGACTTGTGTTGTGAACCAACCATATCGGCCAAGTAGTCAGCAAATAGCGAACTCAAAAAGCAACTACTTATCCACAAACAAGAACTTAGCCTTCAATTTGATCCTTGAAATTTAGGTTATAAGAGGAGTGGAATGTCCTTCTGATTCAAGGTATTCATGTGCTTTCTCAAGAAGAAGCAATGAAAAAAATGGATTGTATTTTAATTTCATGGATTAGACCTCATTGATTTTGAAACACTTCAGCAGCATCTCTTCTAAATCACCCCAAAAGCTATTGATATCTTTCTCTTTAAAAAAAGATTCTTTAAAGATAAACCATTTGAATTTGATATCAGCATTACAATGGCTTCCTAATAAGTAACAACTTAGCTTACCCATTCTATTATAAGACTCGGAGAATTCGGAAAATGTTCACCTGATTTCATTCTTTTGAAATGGATAAATCACCTACTAGGGCTAGCATCACCTTTCAACATATCTATACTTTTAGAGGCACGATTAAACGAATGACTATTTCATTAAGCACAGGAGTTCCTCAGCGGGTTGGGATATTTTGCCACATCAACTGAAAATGAATATCTTGGTCACCTAAACTAAAACTATATTGAAAAACGTCTGCATCTGTACACAAAGGGGCGAGTAACAGATGCAGAGCATTGGAGACAGCGGATTCTGGTTGGCAGTGGTTAATAAAATATTAAAAAAATTAAACTGCTCTAGAAATAAGTTCTTGAAATTGGGTACCTTATCATTTGTGAAACGCATTCAACTTTGAATTGTTCATTGCTAGGCATTTGAATTGTTCTTTAAAGATCACGACATGTAATGCTGTCAATTTTATGTGAATGTTCGCAGAAAAGAAGGCGGAACACATGTACCTTTGATGAACCCTTTGACTCGTAAACAAAATGACCAATAAAGAGTTCATATACTAAATTTCTGAAAGAAATAGAATGGATAATAGGGCTGATACCAAGTCTAACGAATATCTGCCCTCGAGACACGTTTGAGCTTTAATCCTTATCGAACCGCTGTTAAAATTATCAAGCTTCCAAAAGCAATGAGAAATGGTCGCACTTATTCATTACCAAAGATCACTACCACTATCCCTCTATCATTTAGACTTAAAAGTCAATTGTACACTTCAACCCCCCCCCCCACATAGATGTGCGATAAATTTGAAAGCTATGCATATCAATGTACAATACTTATTCAGGTAACGTTAATTAAAAGTAAAACGACATAATATTATGATTAAAAGTATGGGGTGTGCGATAGACTTACCTCCACGTGGTGCACCCTGGGCAACGTATACTCATACGGCAAAAAGTCTATTAACTGGCAGTTGACTTCTGACTTCAAACTACCATGACCCCCAATGTATGTCATATTCCAACACTTTCACAGCACTCATCTTACCTTTTCTCTGTCTCTTTTGCATATTTGAAACACTCTTCTGTTCCCCCCCCCCTCTCGACTTTTTTCACCTTGATGTTCCTTCCCCTCTGTGGAGCCTGAAGTCAACTAAAGGGCTAATGATAACTATCAAAACACCTGCCATTGGATATAAATTAATAAATGAATGATTAAGTCTTGCCTGAATGTTTCTAGAGATGGCCAACTGATTTGTTTGCTGCTCCAGAGTCTTAGGAGGAAGGGTCTGAGATGCCGAGCAGTGTTGACAGTGCACAGTTTTGGAAGAAATTTTCCCTTCACCAATTTGGAATAGCACCGGTGACTCCTCTTTGCTTGAAGGACCTATCAATTCGGCGTCCGAGAGGAGAGGTGAGGGTACTGAAACACCGACCGCCGATGGGGGAGGATGTTGAGGAGGAGGAGATTCACTTCCACACTGTCGATTGGCTGGCGCTTTGCTTAGGAGGCTTCCATCGAGAAGACGAAACTGACCATGCTTAAATAATGAGAAGTTGAAATGAATGAATTGAACTCCTCCAGAGAATTCAACGATCGTAAAACTGGAACAAAACTACAAACTACTCAACTAAGTGTATGATTGATCAGCATTACCCTTACTACCACACGGCACACGACTAGAGCCCAATTCTGCTAGCAGGACCACCCGCTTCACCACATGGCGTTAACTTGTGAGCCCCAATCTACCAGAGGTCTTGTTGGGAAAGTGCTTGGGGAAGCGTCAGCTTCAGCGCTACTTTTAAAAGATAGCTCCTAGCAAACAGAAGAGACTTCTAGGGTCGGTATAATCTGTGCCGACAATATAAGGCAGAATGAAGAAACAAGCTAACTTAATTAGACGATAAGTCGCCCATTGCATACGACGACTTGTAAGGTGAATTGAACATAAGAGCAGCTAACTACCAGCCTCTGGTGCATCCGAAAAGTGAAAATCGAAAGGGAGGTTGAGTAAATCCACCTTCAGGGGGCTTCGTTTGCCACAGGAATGTTCAAAACTGGTCGGACTAGAGATTGCGATCACTCAATGAGACAATAAAAGTAAGTGGAGAGGGAAAAAGCGTTTGGCGACCCGATGACCAGGATTGTTAATCAGTTCCTAGCCTACTTTCATCCTGCTATGGAGCCAGGAAGGCGAGGAGGATTATCTAACCTTCTCACAATTCCTCCCCCCACTCACCACACCCCACCCCCTAACTCAATGTGTGGAGGCAAATTTCCTGCTACTAAGCCATTATGCAATTACTCAAAAGACAATTAGTCCCCAACTCAGATGTACGAATGCATAGCGCGTGTTTTTGACTCTAACTCAGCTATCGTTTGGGGCTGCCGATAGCACAGAATCTGTTTCGAATGCGTTGGAGACAAAAAAATAATATAACAAACTCTCCATGGGGGCAGACACAATGATAAATAAATAAAAGTTTATGCGCACATAAGAAATGCCAAGGTAACAAAGACAAAGGCCTGATCAACAAATGCACAAAATTACAAAGGCGTGGAACACATACTACTTATAATAAGGGTGGGGTGGAGGGGGGAAGAAAGCCTATAACGGGGATAGGATTAGTTCCTCATGCTTCAAAGTTCAACTGAAGTGGACATTTAGTAAATAATGAGAAGGAAATTTTAAACATAAAATGACTAAAATGTGGCCGTGAGAGAGGAAGATAGGCATTACCTGCGGCGAAGTTGTGAGACCTATGAAAGTTGGTTTAATCTTTGAGAAGAGTGGATGGGGTGCAGGTCCTTTGCAATACTGAATACAATCGAAAGGCGATTTTGGTATACCTGCATACAAAGAGGAACACAGCACAATAAGATATTGTCATTCTCCCATGCCAGCAATATATATCATGCAAAGAGAACTAACCGGCGCAAGTGGGATCTCTTCGCCTTGCTCTGCTATCAACCACAGGCGTATGAGTTGTGGAGGGTGGGAGGAACTTCCTTGACAACCGATCAGTGGCCGGACGTTGGGGTTTCTCGGCGGCGAGGGCTTGCGCCTTGAGAGCGCGAATACGCGACAAAAAGGCGGACACTATCGTGGTGGAGGGACTCGTTTGGATGGACATTGTCGTGCTTGAGGGGTTAGATGGAGGCGCACCGCATTTGCTGCACCGACGAACCTGATTGGCCGAAAGAGTGGTCAAATTGGTATCCAAAAACGTGGCGAACATCTGGGTTTCCAAGAATGGACTGGAAAGGAGAAAATGACAATAGTGGAGAGAGAGAAGGCTTCACAACCACACAGAAACTCCAAATGTTAAAGCATAATTGAAATCTTAAGACCCGTCTTCTAGAGCCTTGGGGACAATAATTGTTATCCGTTACTCCAAATATGACTGGGAAAGCGTTCAACTACTTTAAAAGATTTCGTTCAGCAATAAAGAGTTAGCAAAAGAATTAGAAAAACATGCATTTCTCCGTTTGTTCAATTATCTTCATCTACACCCAATTGATGCCCCGAAGTGTATGGGGATATCCTTCCACCAATCATTTTCTTCCATTCTTTCAGGAAGTTCTTCACCGGAAGTTTTTGGTGCTATTCACTGACCTGAGGGAAAAAAGCTTCGAAATCCTTCTCTTTTTTGAATTTATAGTATTTCAGCTCAAATAATTCAATGAGACAAGAATAATCAACTAGGCACCAAAGTCTAGGAGTGAAAATTTATTAAAAACATACCTGAGAAACGCCATATGCGTTTCGGGGCAGTCTGAGAGAAAGCCAACTTTATCAAACGCTTGAAGACCCGAGTTATTGTGTGCATTGGTAGCAGTAGCGGCGGCAGTATTTCCTTCAGGATTTTCACTGCTATTCGCTCCCAACACGATAAAAGTCTCAAAGTCAACAAAAATTTCCGCCAAATGATTGATAAACACCTCGCGAATAGCGTAGTTGAATTTCAGCAGATCTGAGTACTCAGTCAGCTCCTTTTTCGCAGTCATGCTGGCGGCAATTTCATGCATAGTGGAGAAGTACTGCTTTGAAGGATACGCTTCGCTGCTTCTCGGCTTTTCGGGCGTTTTCGTGTGGGAAGAGAAGGAGCTATCCGTAGCTGAATGATGCAACTGGGGCCTTTCTGGCTCAATTGAAGTCGCAGCAATTTGTTCAATGAGTCGAGAGGAAGCGGACCTCTAAAATAATAGAAGAACCCCCAATCATTTGGGCATATTTTACCACATTTTATTCACCACCACCACCCAGACACTAAAGTTATCCGAAATCACTCATAGTAACCAACAACAAGCAGACATGTTAATGAAAGCAAAAGAGGCATGAAGAATGGCTATTAGGGCGTTAGGAAGTGTGTGCTCCGGTTGTGACAAACCTTCTGGAATCCTCTCCACCCAATGACGCTGAAAGGGGGGAAAGAGCAAAGAGGGCTAATATACACTCGCCGAATGTTTAGACATTGAAAAAAGTTCATGCCAGAGACGCATAAGTTCTGTGAGTACCTGCATAACTGGCGGATTGAGATCCAGCAATGGGCGCTTTATAACTGGAACAGAGCCTGTTGGCGGTGCTTCTGTGTTATCGAGATTAGGCGGAGTGTTGGTGCCTGCAAAGAAAATGGAGTTTTTTGAATGGTGATAAGGCCAAGAGGGTTGAAATCCGGTTTTAGTAAACTAAGTTCCAAGTTTAACAAGTATTTACAGGAGACCACCAACACCACTACCACGAGGGCCTCTAGAGAGTAGAGAGGGATAAATAAAGCACGCAGTTTTGCCGAATCGGTGATCAGCATTGAGACCGATGTGGCTGAGTGAAAATGCATGGAAAGGGAAACAACTTCATCCACTTTTCTACTACCGCATGCATCAAGACAAAGGCAACTTGACAAATGGAGACTAGGAGGGAGGGAGGGAGGGAGGGAGAGGGGGGGGGAGAAAGTCAAATAGGCGGTCAAATTCGATACAATTTTGCCCCGTTTTCCTTAATTTATTCCTCTCACATTCATCCCCTTTGAATTCGCAGTCGAATTCGCACTGACAAACCTCACTTTTACAATAACATAGCTCACAAAGAACTTCCAAAAAAGGTGAACTCCGATGATAGTATAGAAAGATTGAATGCATGACATCTTTTCTCCCCGTTAAACTAACAGGGTACGCAGTCTGAAGGTCCGTGAAAGAGGGCATATTTCGCAAAGGTGAGTAGTGGGGAGGGAAGGGCCATTATAAATTCAGTTATAACACAATTTCGCAAACAAGGAGGGGGGGGGGGGGGATGCAGGTTAAACGTCATACCGTGAATAGCAGAAAGACCTTTCGAGTGTATTCTAAGCCCTCTCCCTAGATTGAAGGGTGTGCATTGTTCCTTTATTAACACTTCTTCAAAGGTACACTTACACAAGGATGGCGGAAATTCGAGACTTACTAGAACTTCGTGGAGCAGCGCTTCTTGAAGAAGGCGAAGAGAAGTGACAATGACGTTGATAGACTGCAAGAATTGACTCGATGTTGTGTTGGAGTTCCACAGCATTGGGGAATGGCGGCAGGTCCACATCTGTCGAATGAACCCGTCCGCTGTCTATATCCAAGTAGCAAACATTTGTCTGAAGCGAAGATGGGCTGATCAATTGCCAATTAACGAAATTAAATGGATAGAAATATTTCATCAAAAACGCAATCAACACATGCCGATCGACTTCTCAACAGACAAGAATAATAATAAGAGGGGAGTGGAGGCGGGGGGGGGGGCGCGCACGCGAAGGGGTCACAAACCTCACTAGCCAAACCAAAATTGGCGAAGGATTGCAAGGAGGCCAAGGAGCCCCTGGGGGTGGTGCTTGGAGTTTGTGCTCCTGTTTGTGGAGTCAGTTGATGACGCATTCCCATTATGTAGGGAACAGGCGCGTCGAGAAAGTGCGTCAGTGTGGCCGGCAACACGGGGGCGTAGACGTGGGGCCAAACAAAGGGCTGGAGGAGGCAGATCAATCCCTCACCAACAATCATTAGACGATTGTAGTCTAAAAAAGGGAGGGGAGGGGGTAGACAATGGTGAATAAATGAGGTTCGTTTGAGGCAAGGGTGAAGCAGAAGCACATATATACTCTTCCCTTGACACGATAAGAAATCTCTTTTCATTTTAATTCATGTTAAAACCATGCTAAGTAAGGAAGTAAAATAAAGCACTTAAAATTGCTTTTAAGAGTTGATTAAAAAAATGTAATCTGGAAGTATTCGGAGTACTTGCTGCGTAAAATCAAGTTGCGTAGAAACACACAAGGATTTTCAATAGAGGGCTATCTGGAAGAATTCATTGCGAGGCCTCTTCAAAGTGTCCCGAGCTGTGAGGCAACAATCCAGAATTTCATAGACAAAATCTCTCTCGCACAGGCCCCGTTTTAACAAATAGGCTTGCAAATTCACTTTAAAATGAAATTTGTTCGTTAGAAACACGAAATCGCCCATTTAACAGACCGGCGTTTGGGTCCTTTTGATGTAGACAAATTGTTCTGCATTAATTCCGTGTGTTAGATTGAAGTTTTTTCCGGTTAAGGGTAAAAATGTCCAACATCAAAACAGACAGAGAACACGTGACAAATTGCACGTGACCTACCTTTCAAAGGAACACAAAATACACCTCAAGGCTACTGGAGATTGTAATGAAGTGCATGGTCCAGTGTGCCAACAGACAACCAATGGAAATTTCGGTTTCAGGGAGTTAAATCGGCCAAATCAGAATGACCTTTATTTTGTGATGATGACAGATTAAAATCCCTGGTGGAATCAGATCCCCGGACACCCGCAGTCCACGTTTCACTTACATCCAACAGTACATTTAACTAGAATGGGAATTGCAGTGACGCCGCACAATTTCTCCCAATACAACAAAGATGAGGGGAGAAACAAGTGCATCTCTTTATTATCTTCAATTTCGGGGTGTGCGATAGACTTACCTCCACGTGGTGCACCCTGGGAAACGTATACTCATACGGCAAAAAATTCTTTAAACTGTCAGTTGACTTCTGACTTCAAACTGCCATGACCCCATTGTATGTCATATTCGACTACTTCCACAGTACTTACCTCACCTTTTTTCTACCTTCGTCTTTGAAACGCTCTTCTGCTCCCCCCCCCTTCTCTCGACTTTCATTCACCTTGATGTTCATTCCCTCTGTGAAGCCCGAAGTCAACTAAAGAGCTAATGATAACCATCAAAACGCCTGCCATTTGATATAAATAAGCTATCTTCAATGAAAAGAATTCACACTCTTTACACCAC